AATTATATTGCATCGTCATCCACTTCAGAGCTATGCGAAAGTTTGTTTAATATTGATTGCAAAATTTGTATCAAACATACAAACATTATTATTATCATGTTATCATTAATAACATATTAGATAATGTTCATATTGCATTGTCATACAGTTCTGAGATAGGTATATAAAGTTTCTTTAAAATCGATCGAAAAATTTGTACTGAAGAGGAAAACCACGATCTTATATAAATGAATCGGAGGTGCTAAGCACACTAAAAATATTAAAAAATAAAAAGTCTACTGGATTGGATGAGTTGTCAATAGAAACAATAAAAAATAATAATCGATGTAGTGATTACCCCTTTGACTTATTTATTTAATCAGTCTTTTTTGCAAGGATACTTTCCCGAATAATTCAAAAAGGCATTAGTAATGCCTCTTTTCAAAAAGTAATGCTCGGTAGTAGAAATTATAGGCAAATCTCTTTGCTCTGCTCACTGGCTGAATTATTTGAAAAAATAGTCGCAAACAGGAATACAAATCATTTGGAGAAAAATAATATACTGTACAAAGATCAACATGGATTCAGAAAATATAAATCAATTGAAACTGCAACAAATCACTTACTGAATTATATCTACAAAGAAGTAGATTTGAATAATTTTATTTTTTGATCTAACAAAAGCGTTTGACACAGTGTCTCCTGAATTTCTAATTGCAAAACTAACCCAACTTAGTTTCCCAAATAACTTGTTGAAATGGATCTTACCTCAAAGGGCGTACCATGACTCTAAAATGTGAAAATGTTAGATCAAGGTACAATGACGTTAAGCTTGGAGTGCCACGGGGGTCAGTGCTTGGACCATTGCTTTTTTTGTTTTATGCAAATGATTTGTCAGAATATCTGAAAGATTGCCACCTGACTATGTTTGCGAATGATACTACTATCACAGTTACAGGGAGAAATATTGATGTACTGCTTAGTAAGGTAAAATGCATAATCGATGATTTTTAGCTCCTGGTGTCAGAGAAACAGATTGATAATAAACTCCACAAAAACTGTAATAGTAAATTTCTATAAAAGGAATAATAATGTTCCAGATGACCTACAAGTTACTGACGAAATAAAGATTAGTAGGGAAGTAAAATTTTCAGGAACTTACTTGGATGAAAGCTTATCATGGAATCTGCAAATAAAAGATGTCTGCAACAAACTAAACAAGACATTCATTGCTTTAAGGCAAATGAAATTATGCATGAACACAGCAGGTCTACTAGAAATCTATTTTGCTATGGCATATTCACATATATCGCTCAATATTATAGCATGGGGTTGCAGTAATGAATTCACCAGAGTATTCGTAGAACAAAATGCGCATAGTTGGACTAATTTTCAGCATTGAACACCAAGACAGCGGTAAACCAGTATTCGTTAGGAAAAAATTATTATCTGCTCCCTCCATATACATTCTCAAATGTATAGGATTTGCTAGATATAACATCCATAAACTAGAAACGAATGCAATGGTGCATATTTACAACACACGTCATGGTGATGTTTTGCGTATTCCAAGTCATAAGACAACGAAATATAAAAAGTCCCCTTTGTATAATGCCATAAATCTGTATAATAAATTACCAGAGCAGATCAAACAAATTACCTCTGATAAAGTATTTCATGGTAGAGTAAAGCAATTGCTGCTGCAATTCCAGATGATGATTTCCGATGAGCACTGATTTTGTTTATTTTTTTTCTTACTGTTATTTAGTCTTATCTTCGACGCTTGTTCCATATTTTTACTGGGGATTTTATATATATGACTTTTATATATATATAAAAGTTGGTCAGTCGGTAGCCAAGCGGTTCGGCGTGAGTGCTTTGTTCACTCACTCGAATTGACTGCCGTGTTGGTCGGTGGTTCAAGCCCTAGTCTGAACGATCGATCTTCACTTGCTA